TTTAGGAAAGATACAAATGCACAAAGTTTAACAAATGACAAGAAACAACAAGCAAACTTTAATATTTAATAGAACCATACCTATTTTTGAACAATAGAATCAGGGGTCATTCATAGGGGAAGAAAATAAGAAGAGATCATGCTATATATCAAGAAATGCGGTAATATGTATGAACATAAAGGTTAAAATCACACTGGATTCGAAACTAAAAAAAAAAGTAAAGATAGTAGTAGTAAGAAAACAAAGGGGAATTTAGATGTGCAAGATAACATTTAGATGGGGAGGGCTGAAACGAGATTTTTGACTAGGTGATCACTGAACGAGCTTAAATCATGAAGAGACAAGCGTGAAGACAAGCACACAATGACTGAATCGAAACTTGAATATGCATAACAGTGAGACAGCCTATCAAGACAGTACTGGATGCAAAGAAAATCCAAACCAAGTATGCTGAAAAACAGTTAAAACTCAAACCAAAAGGGGAGGGGAAGTTATCAAAACTATGAATGAAAGAATACGCTGGATCATAATAAGATCGAACTGTGATGCATCAAAACAAACTAGCCGATCTTCGTAAGCACAATAAGATAAACATAAGAAAATGAAATAGAAATCAGAACCTCCCACATTTAAAGAGTCCTAACCAAAACAAAAGAAACTAACAACAGTCCAAACGAAAGGAAAGAAACATCAAATATGCCTATCCACACTTCAGCGAGCCCAACAAGAAGATACTTTCGATTCAGATTGAGAAGTCTCCGTTAAACGCATAAACAAAAGGAATACATAACAACGTAAACGTTAAATGAACAAGGCAAAAATGAGAGGTTTTTACCTTCTTTTAGGCAGCGAACTTGGACGGCTACGAGCTTGGAGCAGACTCAACACTAACTTCAAACTTCAGGAAACTCTTATGAATCCTTAGCAACCCCCCGAATCAAGAAAAAATATGAATGTATATTCTAGGTATATTTCGGTAAGGCTATTGCTGTAAATTATTGCTTGTTTTCCTAATTTTTCCCAACTTTTTTCCAACCCCTAACAAATGAAGAAAAGAGGGTATTTATAAGCAAAATCTAGGGTTCAGAATTGGGGGGAAACGAATGAAAAAATGGATAGGAAAAGGATCCATTCAAAATTCAAACGCCAAAAACTCTTTCACCATTTTAGGGAAGACACCCCTTTCTGAAATTTTCTCCCCATTCTGAAACAGGAAAGGGAAGATGGATGCTCCGGATCAATTCCATTGTCCTGGACGAGCAACGTGGAGCGATCTCACGCTAGGAGGACGATTCTGCGTGCCTTCATTGGTGCTACGATAGTACTGGTTGATAGAGACGTTGGAGAAGAAACAAAAATCGCAGTGTTCTGTTTTGCGTACTGATGGTTTTCCATCTATCTCCGTGTAAGCGCCGTGTATTGGAATCGATTGGGATTGAATTTCAGCGTGATTTTCTTTGTGAACGTTGGGACAACATATTCCGTTGATGTTGTCATTGATGTGAACGCTCTGGGAATCTCTTATGATTCTCTTTCGTGAATTAGAAAAGGGCCGGGTCGGGGTTTAAAAGGTGGGCCGACTGAAGAAGCTGAATTGGAAAGAAAATATTAGAATGGGTTGGGTCTAGAGTAAAAGAGTGGGCTGGGTTAGAAATCAAGGCATTGTGTTAGTTGGGAATTGATTTTTGGCCCAAAATTTGTTTGAGAGGAATTGAAGATATTGGAGGATTTGGCTAAAATCTTAAATAGATTAATCAGTAATTTAGCCAAACAGATTTAAGATGTAATCAAAGAATTAATTTCTAGAAGATTCGGCTAGAATTTACATAGGATGAATTAATATAGTTAATTTAGGAGCTTCTCATCTTAACAAAATAAAATAATTAATTCAACTATAAATCAATTGATTTTTAAAATTAACCATAATTTAAACTAATCTAATTTTAATAGAATATTTAAAATAAAATCTTTTTGAGATGATTTTCAAATATTTATGAAACATACCGATTATATGTATAAAACTATATGAAATATATTTACTATTTATAAATTATGAAAAATTGACTAAGATCACTTAAAATGACTTTGAAAAGCATTTGAATTTTATAAAACTAATTATTTTAAATCGTTTGGGAATTAAGAAGCTCATGAATTAATTCATATCGGGGAGGGTCAAAATTGGGTATCAACAACTGTCCCTCATTTTGCTTGAATTGATGCAAGAAATTCGAGGAAAATGAAATTGACTAATCTAATTTTGACCGACCACATCTTCATCTTTTGGAAAAAGGATTTGGTAAGGACTTTATGAATTATTGCCGAACCCCGGAAGTGGGTTTCCTACATATCTCAGGCTATATGAGAATTCAGGCCACTTGTAGTTCAATACACTTGATTTGACACATGATTTTGAAAGAACTCAAAAGTCATCCCGATACCGTATTATGCGAGGATCGGAATGCTCGAGAATAAGATTTAAGAGCGAATGTTGGAATACAACCGAGTTTTCAACATTGATTCCGCCTACATATCCCTCAACCCAGGGAATCAGGCTGCTTGTAGTTCGACTCAATCAGTTGAAAAGGAAATCTCTTATGCTAAGATATCCTTCAGTTCAGAAGGAGTGACAAAGTAGGTCGAATATGAAAAAGAGGCTTGCAACCTCTTAGTCATGAATGCGGCGCGCTTCACACCCATAATTAAGAACTTACACGGACATAATTCCCAACACTCTTAGAGCATTGTCACTCCGATTGAAAGATTGTTTTCAGCGAACCCAAAATTTTTGGATGCGAAACTGAAACTAGGAAACCTAAAGATAAAACCACATGCCTTCTGATAGGGGTGTGGTTGGATTGTGGTGGAAGTCGCTCCTTTGCTTGTGTCCTAAGAGTTTGACACTCCTCTTTGGACTATGTCCCAGTTTGCTGCTAAGAAAAAGTTCCACGTTGTGCTGCATCATTTTTGATGTTGTCCGCACCTGTGGTTTGTTTTGGAGAATTCATCCTTTCGGATGCTCTCGACAAAGACTGAGATAAAACTCATTAGCATAAAAATGCAATTCAAATGGGAGACAATGTCCACTTAATTGTTCTCTTTTATCATTTGACGTCAACTCCATCGGGTTTGACGTAAAGCAAATAAAGTTTGTGTCTCATATTAGAAATATAATCTTCAATGTACTCTTCCTTTGATGTCAAAATAATAAAATAGGTTGATGTAATATGTTGATAGTTCTCTTGATGTCTTTATTGGTGGTTCTCTTGATGTCGTTTTTGCAGAGAAAATAATGCAACTGATATTGATTTTCTTGTGATGGGTTAATCTTTCTCTTGCGATGCACGACTCTTTTCTCTTTATGCATGACTCTTTTCTCTTGCTATGCATGACTCATTTATCTTGCTATGCATGATTTCTTTCTCTTGTTATGCATGACTTCTTTCTCTTGATGCATGACTCCTTTCTCTTGCTATGCATGATTCCTTTCTCTTGCTATGCATGATTTCTTTCTCTTGTTATGCATGATTTCTTTCACTTGCTATGCATGATTTCTTTTCTCTAGCTATGCATGACTTCTTTCTCTTGTTATGCATGACTTCTTTCTCTTGCTATGCATGATTTCCTTTCTCTTGCGATGCATGACTCTTTTTTCTTGCAATGCATGACTCCTTTCTCTTGATGCCTCCCTGGTACCGAACGAAGATAATGCTTCACTGAGCAACATAAATGATCTTTTGGGTATCTTTTGGGTGGCGGTATCGTCTCAATCGACAATACAAATAAAAATGACACTCAGAGTAATAATATCATCTCATTCGACAATACGATATAAATGACTCTCCGGGTAGTACTATTATATGTCCGATAATATGATGCAGATAATATCCTCCAAGTATTTTAGTTTATGGAGAACAGTAAAATGTCTTTCCTCGGGGTTTTCATTTGTTCCATCTCTGAACATAGTTGCACGTTCATTATGGACTTCACCTTGTTGGGAATTGAATGAAATAATGCTACTTATATTCTCAATTCTTTGTCATAAGAAACATATAATATTTCATGCATCCACATAAAAATTGTCAATTTTGGGGAGCTCTTTGCCCTTTGACTTCTCCGTATTCATTGAATGGAGGAATACGTTGATCTTGAGGCAAGCTTATAGACTTGCATCCATAGAAAAAATGTTAGTTTAAAAATGAACTGATCTATGTCGATCTCTTCGATTGTTTGCTCCTTGTTTTATTTTCTTCGGTTGATTTCTCCGATCTCCCGCGTCTTGATAGATAGGACAAAGCATTTTTACGCAAAATATTTGAAACACGAAAGAGAGGCTTTAAGGAAAATAGATTTTCCAAAAGTAAAATTTAGAAAAGGTCACTGTAAAGTATCATGTCACATCACGCTTAATGAACGCCTTTGGAGTTGATGCCTCGAGATCTATCTAATTACTTGCTGGGGAAGTATTCAAAGTTGTTCCAAACTCCCGATAACCTTATTGAAAATTTTGAGGTCATCCTCAAAAATTTCTGTCTCAGTTAACTATCTTGGCTTGTCTCGAACTGTTGGTGAGTAAATCACAGAATTTTTGAGAGATCTCAAAAATTCCGTCCCAGTTGCAAATCTCAAAGTAACTTCAGTCTTGACTTGTTGGAGAAAATCTTCTTCTCGAGAATTTTTGAGTCCCTCTCAAAAATTCTGTCCCAATTTCTATTGTAAAGAGAAATAGAAATCTTACGGGAGATATGACCGAACTGTTGTGGCGCCTACGTATCCCGTTGAGGCAGAAATTAGGTCAAACGTAATTCCCCCTCTCAAGGATTAAGGAAAATAAGAAATTTACAAAGAAACCGACCGAAGCCGACATATGATGCCTACGTATCTCATTCTTGAGAATTCAGGTCAGACGTAGTTCATTACAAAAGGGATAAAATTTTAAACGATACGATTACAAGCAAATAGAACGATTACAAGGAAATGACAAGAAAATACGAACCGAAACTTCACACATAGTATCTCTTGACAACATCTGAGTTGATCGATTTCGGCCATTCGATGCCATCCATATCCGACAGGACCAAGGCACCTCCAGATAACACTTTGCGAACCATATAGGGTCCTTGCCAATTTGGTACAAATTTCCCTTTGTACTCATCCTGATGAGGGAAAATGCGTTTAAGGACTAACTGGCAGATTTCAAATATCTTGTCTCTTACTTTCTTGTGGAAAACACGAATAATTCTCTGTCGATACAATTAACCATGACAAACCACAACCATTCTCTTTTCATCAATCAATGTTAATTGGTCAATCCACTTGCGAACCCATTCAACATCACTCAATTCAGCTTCTTGGATGATTCTTAATGAAGGTATCTCAACTTCGGCAGGTATAACTGCTTCTGTTCCATATACTAACAGGTATAGAGGTTCTCCGATTGATGTCCTAATAGTCGTTCTGTATCCCAACAAAGCATATGGCAATATCTCATGCCAACCTCGATAACTGTCAATCATTTTCCTCAAAATCTTCTTGATGTTCTTGTTGGCGGCTTCTACAGCTCCATTCATTTGGGGACGATAAGCGGTCGAGTTTCGGTGGGTAATCTTGAAGTGTTCACCTATCTCTCTCATCAAGTGACTGTTAAGATTCGCTCAATTATCAATAATGATAAATTCTGGTACTCCAAACCTACATATCAAATTGTTGCAAACAAAATCAGCTACAACCTTCTTGGTCACCGACTTATACAAAGCTGCTTCCACCCACTTGGTGAAGTAATCAATGGCAACCAAAATGAATCTGTGTCCGTTAGAGGCGGCCGACTCTATTGGACCAATGACATCCATGCCCAAGCTACAAACGGCCAATGTGAACTCATATCATTGAGTTCGTGAGGCGGGACTCGAATCAAATCGCTATGCACTTGACATTTATGACATTTCTGCACAAACTTGCAACAATCATGCTCCATAGTCATCCAAAAATAACCGGCTCGGAGGATCTTTCTCACCAAAGTGAGTCCATTAATGTGAGTATCACAAACTATAACATGCTGTTCCAAAAGCTTCGCAGCTTCACTAGCATATACACATCTGAGAAGACCTAAATCTGGAGTCCTCCTATAAAAGATTTCCCCACTTGGAAAGAAATTGTTATCCATATGGCGAATTGATTTCTTCTGGTTAAACGTTGCATTCTCAGGATAAGTCCCGATCTCCAAATACCTCTTTATATCAAAATACCAAGGCAAACCATCTCGTTCCGCTTCAACATGTGAACAATGGACAGACTGCTTTTTTACCTCTATATCCAAATGATCAATATAACTTGTATCTAGATGTTTAATCATTGATGCGATGGTGACAAGAGCATCGACCAACTCTTTCTGTGTCCTGGGAGTGTGCCTGAATTAAATATTGCGAAATCTCTTGCACAACTTTTGTATATACCGCACATAGGACGTGATCTTTGGGTTCTTCACGGCCCATTCTCCTTGAACCTGGTGAATTAGCAAATTTGAATCTTGGATAACCAACAACTCATGAACGTTCATATCAATTGCCATCTTCAGACCTAGGATGCAAGCTTCATACTCAACCATGTTGTTTGTGCAATCAAATCGGAGTTTAGCCGCCATAGGATAGTGCTGACCAAATTCCGATACTAAGACCGCTCCGATACCTTTCCCTTGGTGGTTTGTCGCTCTATCAAAGAATACTCTCCAACCAGGGTATGCTTCAGAAATATCTTCACCCACAAATGTAACTTCTTCATCGGGAAAATAAGTCTTGAGCGGTTCATACTCTTCATCAACTGGATTCTCCGCAAGATGATCAGCCATGGCTTGTGCTTTTATCACCTTCTCGGTCACATACACAATGTCAAACTCACTCAAGAGCATTTGCCATTTAGCTAACTTCCCGGTTGACATTGCCTTCTGAAAAATATACTTCAACGGGTCCATCCCCGGAAATAAGGTATGTGGTATAAAAAGACAAATAATGTCTCAACTTCTGAGCAATCCAAGTCAAAGCATAACATGTTCTCTCCAAAAGAGTGTAACGGGCTTCATATGGAGTGAATTTCTTGCTCAAGTAATAAATAGCTCGCTCCTTCTTCCCAGTTTCATCATGTTGACCAAGCACGCATCCAAATGCCTTATTTGAGACCGACACATATAGAAATAACGGGCTTCCTTCTCGCAGAGGAACCAACACCGGCGGATTGGACAAATAATTCTTGATAGCATCAAAAGCAGTTTGACATTCTCCGGTCCACTTGGTCAGGGAATCTTTTTTCAACAACTTGAAGATGGGCTCACACACCACAGTGGACTGAGCTATGAACCGGCTGATGTAGTTCAACCTTCCTAGAAAACTCATCACCTCCTTCTTGGTCTTCGGAGGAGGCAACTCTTGAATCGCTTTAATCTTGGAATGGTCAAGCTCAATGCCCTTCATGCTGACTATAAATCCCAACAGCTTGCCAGCTAGCACCTCAAAAGCACATTTGGCGGGATTTAACTTCAAATTGTATCGACGTAGGCAATCAAAGAATTTTCTTAAGTGAGTCAAATGATCCGAACTCTTGCGGGATTTGATTATGACATCATCTACATACACCTCAATCTCCTTATGAATCATATCATGAAAAATGGTTGTCATAACCCTCATATAAGTAGCACCGACATTCTTGAGACCAAAAGGCATCACCCGATAATGATATACACCCCAAGGCGTAATAAATGATGTTTTTTCTGCATCTTCTTTATCCATTAGGATCTGGTGATAGCCTGCATAACAATCCACAAACGACTACATCTCATGCTTGGCACAATTATCAATGAGAATGTGAATGTTTGGCAATGGAAAGTTGTCTTTCGCACTAGCTTTGTTGAGATCTTTGTAATTGACACAAATTCTGATCTTCCCATCTTTCTTGGCAACCAGAACAACATTAGCTAACCAAGTCAGATATTGCGTCACTTCCACTACTTGAGACTCGATCTGTTTGGTAATCTCCTCTTTGATCTTTAAACTCAACTCAGGCTTGAACTTCCGAGTCTTTTGTTTTATTGGACTGAATTCTGGATTAATCGGCAACTGGGACACCATATTCGTACTCAGCCCTGACATATCTCTATAAGACCAGGCAAATACATCAATATATTTTCTAAGCAAATGAACCAGGTCCCTTCTTTAAGCTTCAATCAGATGGACGTTGATTCTTACTTCTTTAACACATTCCTTATCTTCGAGATTCACAGTTTCAGTTTCTTCTAAATTCGGCTTGTGTTGATTCTCGAATTGTCAAAACTTTTCAGCAACATGTTCGGGTACCTCATTTTCTTCTTCATGTTCCTCGCATTCGTCATCACCTGTCTCATTTTATTCACTCATATCATGACATGACATGACATTGGCTGGTTTTAAACTAATATTACTGAAATCATAAACAAACAAAGTTAGAAAAGTAAAATATGAACAGATAAGCAAATACAATTTTGATAAAAGAGGCTTTCATTTAAATTGAAAAACAAGCACAAACTTTGGCCATGGCTAAGGGTTGTTTCGCCTTTTTAAACATCACAGGGGAATTAAAAAAAACTCAAACAAATAAAAACTGCATAAAGGGTAGGTCTCGGGCCATTTCCGGACTACCATCGATTTTAAAAACAAACATAAACACATGTCTTTTCTACCAAGCTGCACGGGGAACTAGGAGCAGTGTGGAGGTCCAATTTTGCAATTGCTCCTCAGGTTCTGCATCACGGATGCCCGATGTCCCAGCCTCTTCCTCAATGATCGTATCAATCTCCTAAAAAAGGCCCAGATTCCTTCCTCGAGACCACCATCATTGACATACTCTCGTACTGGAAATGATTGGTATAAATTAGGAATTGGCCTAGCCAATGCTTAATCAACCCTCTTGTTCTTAATCTCTACTTCATCATCTGTGGGGACATACCCAAACCAAATTTTGCTCATTTGGTGGAAATTTGGATAGACTCGACAATTCCTTGAAAATGCTTCTCAATCTGAAACCTGGTTCGAAACCACTTCGGAGCATAACAGTAGCAATCATCTTGTACACAGAAGGCATAGGAGGCTGTGGAGCCAAATCATCACCGGTGACATTTACCAACTCCATCGTGTAAAAATCGCAACCTCGGTAGACCTCATCAACGATCGGCGCATACCCATTGGAATGTCTCCCTTCACCATGAATGACCAATTCCTAGTCCTTCCAAACAAATTTCATTAGTTGGTGAAGGGTAGAAGCCACAGCCCCAGCCATGTGGATAAACAGTCTTTCCAGAAGCAAATTGTAATTGGTATTGATGTCTAACACTTGAAACTACACATTGAATGCCACAGGACCCATCTGAATATCCAAGTTTACTGCACGCAATATGTCTCTTTGCACTCCATTGAAAGCCCTCACATAGACTTGGTTCTGGTGAACCTTTCCCAAGTCGAAGTTTAGCTGCTTCAGAGTCAAAAGTGGGCAAATATTGAGACCAGATCCGTCATCGACCAAGACGCGATTCATGACCTAGTCTTGGCACATAATGGTGACGTGCAGAGCTTTGTTGTGCATCTTGCTTCAAAGGGCAGCTCTTCGTCATAGAAACTGATGCGGTGTCCTCGTACAACTTGGTTTATCATAGCTGCCAGATTATCATTGTTAGTACCCACGAGCACATAACTGTCATCCAAAGCCTTTCTCAACGCTTGCATATGCAGTTGTGAATTCATCAACAAAGCCTATACATAAATTTGAGCGGGTGTTTTCTCCAGATGCTTCACGATCGAGTAATCTTTTAGTTGCATCTTTCTCCAAAATTCTTCTGCTTCAGCTTCACTAATTGACATTTTAGGCAGATCCTTTTTCTGCACTCCCTGGGCTAACTCTTCTCGTGTGTAGCACCTGCCGGATCTGGTCATACCCTGGGTAACAGCCGTTTCAATCACAAACTTTGGTCGGGCAAGAGTTTCTTGTGGCACCAAGGCAACAACCTTATCGGGTGTCAGAATCACAAACTCTTTCTTCTCTCTAATGCTCAACGAAACTACAGCCCTTTCCAGTTCATCAGAAGCGATCAAAACTATTATCTTTATCACGCCCAATCCTCATCTGTCTCTATCATATTAATAATGACGCCTCCATGATTTGGCAAAGGATTACTATTGACATTAGGCGCGACTGTTTGGAGAGAGACCACTTTCTGGTCAAACAAGTCTTGGATCTTGTGCTTTAGGTTGATACAATCCTCGATATCATGCCCAACACCGTTGGAGTGATATGCGCACCTCTGATCAGGTCTGTAAAACTTTGAGGTAGTGTCATCCGGCTTGGGCCCCATTGGATGAATATATCTTGCCGCAGTTAATCACTCGAACAAATTTGTTCGACTTTCAATGAGCGGAGTGAAAATTCTAGCGGGCTTCTTCTCAAATCTAGGACAGGGGTGATCGTAACTGCCTTGTTGAGGAAGAGACATTTGACGATA